TGCAGCCGCTAGGGCACTTCATCCTCCCCTTTTATTTATTTATTTATTTTATTTTATTTTTTTGAGACAGGGTCTCGCTTTGTTGCCCAGGCTAGAGTGAGTGCCGTGGCGTCAGCCTCGCTCACAGCAACCTCAGACTCCTGGGCTCAAGCAGTTCTCCTGCCTCAGCCTCCCGAGTAGGTGGGACTACAGGCATGCACCACCATGCCCGGCTAATTTTTTTTTTCTATATATATTAGTTGGCCAATTAATTTCTTTCTATTTATAGTAGAGACGAGGGTCTCGCTCTTGCTCAGGCTGGTTTCGAACTCCTGACCTCGAGCAATCCGCCCGCCTCGGCCTCCCAGAGTGCTGGGATTACAGGTGTGAGCCACCGCGCCCGGCCAATCCTCCCCTTTTAGAGGTGAGGAAACTGAGGTTTGGAGTGACGAATTCAGTCGTCCAAGGTCAGCCGACTCAGGAAGTGGGTGCATCCAGGCAGCGCTCGGCTTCGCTTCCCCTGGCCTGGCGCCCCGAGTGCCTCGCCCTTGGCACTGGGGCAGTGTGGCTCCCATGCCAACTCCACAGGAATGTCAAGTCTGGGGGCAAGTGGCCCCAGGCAGGGGTGTCTGCCCCTGCAAGCCCAGCAAGGTGAGGAAAGTTCACTGAACACAAGTCATCATGCACCCCCACTGCCGCCCACCCCCACCCCATGCCCCAGGAATCTGGCCTCTCCCACGCTGTGGGGGCAAATGTGGAAGGGAAGAAAGAGGTCTGGGCTCCCACTGGCTCCTGCCTCCCCACCTCTGTCCAGCCCGCCTTCCCTCGAAGGCCTCACCAAGGCAGATGGGAGGCCAGGGTCAGGGGTGGGATGAGAACAAGAGGCAGCCCGCAGGGACTGGAGTGCAGGTGACAGAGTGAGCCCCTAACTTGGCAGCAAGTGACCCAGCTTCCAGGTCCCACCCTGCCAGGATCCAGCTCTGAGATGTGTTTTGGGGGAGACAGATCATGTCCCCTCCCTCTCTGGACCTCGGTTACTCCACCAGAGGAGGTGGGACCAAGGGCACCCAAGGGTGCAATGCAAGGCTCCATGGCTCATGCATGAGAACGTGCAGAGGAAGGCAGGAGGGGCCGCGCAGGAGGGGAGGAGGAGGCGCTCTTGTCTGGACTGGGGACAGAAGCTGCCTTTCCCCTGGGGCAGCCAGTCCCCCCAGCCTGCCACTCCCCATCCGGGCAACCAGGGAAACCTCAAAAGAGTCAGAGAAGCCAGGAAGGAAGGAAGGGTATCTGCCAGGCCAACACCCCACCCTGTGGAAGAGAGGGTGCTCTTGGCAGCCTGCAGTCCAGAATCTATGCAGGAGGTGGGTGACAGGTAGCCTGTTCCTGGCCAAAGGGGTCGGGCCCTGAGTTTTGTTTTGTTGAATGACATCTGTTAGAAGGATTGAGTGCCCGAAACACAAACTGTTCTTCCTCTGCTCTAACCCCATACAGTCAACACGGAAGACTTCTGTGACCAAGCGTGTGTGCAGTCTTCCCCACTCACCAGCAAGCAGTCACTTCTGCAGCGGATACCGGGTGGATGTCCTCCCATCCGACTCGACTGTCCACTGCAGACAGTGCTGGATCCCACAGGGGGATCCCCAGGACCGGCCCCCACTTCCGATGACCACTGCAAGGTGAGGGCGTTGTTTTCCCTGTGCTTCTGAAATTGCGGTTCCCACAACCTGCTCCTTGGGTTTGATTAATTTGTGGGAGCAGCTCAAAGAACTCAGGAAAATGCTTGCTTAGGTTTACTGGTTTCTTTTTCTTTTTTCTTTTTTTTTGAGACAGAGTCACACTTTGTTGCCCAGGCTAGAGTGAGTGCTATGGCATCAGCCTAGCTCACAGCAACCTCAAACTCCTCGGCTCAAGCGATCCTCCTGCTTCAGCCTCCCGACTAGCAGGGACTACAGGCATGCGCCACCATGCCGGGCTAATTTTTTTTTTGTATATATATTTTTAGTTGGTCAATTAATTTCTTTCTATTTTTAGTAGAGACGGGGTCTCGCTCAGGCTGGTTTCGAACTCCCAACCTTGAGCAATCCGCCCGCCTTGGCCTCCCAGAGTGCTAGGATTACAGGCGTGAGCCACCATGCCCGGCCCGTTTACTGGTTTCTTATAAAGGATATTCCAAAGGATGAAGATGAAGAGATGCGTAGAGCAAGGTATGGGGCAAGGGACAGTGAGCTTCCATGCCCTTCTGCCACCTCCATGTGTCCAGCTGCCCCAAAACCTCTCCAAACCCTGTCCTTTTGAGTTTTTATGGAGGTTTCATGACATGGGCATGACTGATTAAACCATTGGCCATTGGCCATCAACCTAACCTTGAGCCCCCTGCCCTCCTTGAGGTTGGGGGTGGGGTTGGAAGTCCCAACATTCTAAACCTGCCTTGGTCTTATTATAAGGATTTTTAGGAGTTGTGCGCCAGGAAACTGGGATGAGGACCAAACACATTTCACAGTATCACAAGAGTGGGGCCAGGCTGTTCCTCACCCTGCCGGAGCCCCCTGAGCACCGCACCCCAGCCTCCTACCTGGGCGCTCAGCCACCTTCTTGGTGTTCCGTTTAGTCACAGCAACCCTCCCAGGAGGAAGAAGGAGCCGGACTTGTGGCTCCTGAACCCGAGCTTGCATCAGAACTCATCCACGACTCCCTGCTTTGCCTCCTTCTGCAATTTCTTGCAAGTCAATGCTTACGAGTAGTTTCTTTCTACAAACCATCCCATGAACCTGCCCATCTCTTCCTCTCCCCACTGCCCTTGCCCTCCTTGGCCTCATTTCTTCTATGAGATGCCAATAACGCAGCCACCCAGCCTCCACCACCTCACAGGCCTCCAGGCCCAGCCGGCCTCGAAATGGTTTTGTCTCATGTGCCACCTTCTCTCCCACTGACCTTGCCACCCTGGGACTCCGGCCCCACGGGTGAGCGGGTCTTCACTTGGACGTGAGTTGCCTTCTCCAGCCCGGCACCATCTCAAAAGCTACTGGCTCACACCTGTAATCCTAGCACTCTGGGAGGATCCTTTGAGCTCAGGAGTTCGAGACCAGCCTGAGCAAGAGCGAGACCCCATCTCTAATAAAAAAAAAAAAAAAAAAATAGAAATTAGCTGGACAACTAAACAGACACACACACACATAAAATGAGCCGGGCATGGTGGCGCATGCCTGCAGTCCCAGCTACTGGGGAGGCTGAGGCAGGAGGATCGCTTGAGCCCAGGAGTTGGAGGTTGCTGTGAGCTAGGCTGACGCCACGGCACTCACTCTAGCCCAGGCAACACAGCGAGACTCTGTCTCAAAAAACAAAAACAAAAACAAAAACAAAAGCTACTTCTCCAGAAAGGCCTTTCCTCAGGTCTCCAAAACGGTCCACGCTGTCCCAGTGAGCACCCCTACCAGACTGAGGCTCCTACAGGGCTGGGACCCGGGGTAGCTACTAATGAGTTTTCTTAGATGCATCCTCTGACGTCTGGCACTTTGGTTGTTAGGAAATTGGTAAGGACAGCACGGAAGGCAAGGGGCTGCAAATTGGTAGCCCCTGGTCCACAAGAGGCGTGATTTTTTTTTAAAATGAGGTGAAATTTACATTACATAAAATGAGTCATTTTAAAGCACACAATTCAGTGGTATATAGTACATTCACGATGTTGTACGACCACCACCTCTACCTGGTTCCAAAATATTTTCCTCATCCCAAAAGGAAACACCATGTCCATTAAGGGTTCACTCATTCCCCTGCCCACAACCTCCAGGAGTAGCCTGCTTTCTGTCCCTATGACTTTGTTGTTTTTTTGTTTTGTTTTTTTGAGACAGACTCTTGCTTTGTTGCCCAGGCTAGAGTGAGTGCCGTGGGCATCAGCCTCGCTCACAGCAACCTCAAACTCCTGGGCTCAAGCGATCCTCCTGCCTCAGCCTCCCAAGTAGCTGGGACTACAGGCATGCGCCACCACGCCTGGCTCATTTTTTCTCTATATATTAGTTGGCCAATTAATTTCTTTCTATTTATAGTAGAGACGGGGTCTCGCTCTTGCTCAGGCTGGTTTCGAACTCCTGACCTTGAGCAATCCGCCCGCCTCGGCCTCCCAAGAGCTAGGATGACAGGCGTGAGCCACCTCGCTGGGCCCTGTCCCCATGACTTTGAACTGCGTCTGGTTGCTCCCATTTATCCTATGTTTTGGGGGTTCATCCTCGTTGCAGTATGTGTCAACATGTCAATCCTTTTAATGGCTGAACAATACTCTGCTTTGTGGACAGGTCACATTTTGTTGACCCACCCACCGGTTTGTGGCTGGGCCGGCCGTCTGCACCATTTGGCCGTTCCCTTGTTGCAGCCCGCGCTGCTATGGACACTCGTGTGCGTGTTTGAGCACCTGTTTTAAATCCTTTTGGGCGTACACCTAGGAATGCAACTGTGGGTCCTATGGGAACTCCCTGTTTTAACTTTTCGAGGAAGAAATGGGGTTTTGATTTTTTGAATGTGGATACCTTTAGGTGTCCATTTCTCTCCCTCAGTTTCCACCTCTTCCTAACTGTCTTACACCCAGGGCGTTTGGCTCATTTACGTTATTTTTTCTGGCCCCTGCAGGCACCTGACTTTGCTGCCCCTGGAAGGCTCTGGCGGCAAATATCCAGCACGGCAGCACCTCGGCGCGCAGTGCGCTCGCGGACCAGCCGCGACGCCGGGGACTCTCTCCGTCCCCAAGGCGCTCCTTCGGCTCGGCCTCCGCGGGGCCGCGGGCCCGGACCCGGCGGCTGACCGGCGCTGCAGGGCCGGCCGCCGCGACCCGGGCCCGGGCGGAGCTCGGTCGGCCGCGGCAGGCGGGCGCCGGCGCGCACATCCGGGGCCGGGCCGGGCGCGGGGCTCGCCGCGCGCCGGTGAGTCAGGCCGGGTTTTCCCTCCGCCTCTGGGGCCGGCGAGCGAGCGCGTCCCTCCCTCGCCAATCCGGCTCCCGCGCCCGCCCGCCCGCCCGCGTTTCCCCGGCGCCGGCCGCGCGGCCGCCCCGAGCCGGCTCGCAGTCTCGGCCGGAGCCGGCGCCTTGCGGGAGGGTTCGAGTCCGCGCCAGGGAACTGCCGCGCGAGGGCGCGGCGCCAGCATGGTGAGTGGGGCGCGTGGGGCCGGGCACCGGGGGCCGGACGGGGATGGGGGCGGGTCGCCGGGGTCTCTCCTCCCCGCGTCCTCGGCCACGCCGCAGCCCCCGTCGACCCAGGCTTGGAGAGGAGCAGTGGGCGGGGGTGGCAGGGCGCGGTGCGCGCCCGGGTGCCCCTGCTCCTGGACACCGAGGCACGGAGGCGCCGGGTCGGGGGCCGACCCCGACGCTCCGCGGGAGGACAGGCGGCAGGTTGCCCTCCTGTCCGCGAGCCCTGCAGAGGCGCTTTCCTGGGAGCAGCGCGGGACCCCGCACCGCGGCTGGGTGGGGCAGGCGGGCGTCCTTGGCGCCGGAGTCTGACCTCGGCCTCCGCCCCCCTGCTCCGCGCGCCCGGCTGGCCCCAGGGAGGGGCCAGAAGGAGACGCGCCCCCACCCCGCCCCCCAGGTAGCTGGAGGATCTCCCGCAGTTTTGGGGAGCCCTCGCCTCCACTCTTGCCTACCTGGGGGCAATTCCATAGGGCTGCCAATCTCGCCTGCCCTTCAGCCTTCCCCATGGGACCTCCCGGCTGTCCTCTCTCGCCTCCCTCTGCCCTTTTCCTCCCCTAACCCCCTGCTCCGTCCGTCCGGGCTGCAGCGGCGGACCCGAGGGGACATTCTTGGCGGGCGGAGCACCCGTTCCAGTCCTGGCCACAGCCTTTGGCCAAAGTGAGGGCTGGCCTGGGGCCAGGCTGAAATCAGGGCCCTGGTTGTATCCAGAAAGGAGACTGGGACTTGTTGTCTTCAATCAGACCCCCCCACAGACACACACACACCCCAGCCACGTAGGAACAGAGTGGCCTGGGAGCAGAGGCAGGCGGCCGTCCTGGGCCCGATCAGCTTCCTCCCAGGCTGGGCTCCTCCACCGACTGGGTGTGTGGGTGTGTATGTGCGAGACTGAATGCACGCGGCTGCCCGGCGGAGTTGGAGCTAGCACGGGGGCTTGCAGAGCTTCCTCTCTCTTCCTGCCCTGCGGGTCAGGCTGAGGGTCCTGCAGTCCAGCCAGCCTGGATGCACGTGAGGGCTGGGAGGACATTCACGCAGCAGTGCCAGCGCTGGCTGGGCAGCCCCGTGCAGTAGGGAGCACCTTGCGCAGGGAGTTGAGATTGCTCCTGGCTGTGGGATCTTGGGTAACTCACTCCCTTTTTCTAGGCCTCAGTTTCCCTGTGTGTGAAATGGAGTGAGGGTCATTGTCCCGTTGGCCCCCACAGGGCTCTTGTGGAGATGAGACTGAAAAGGAAGGCTGAGAGAAACTGCCCTGTGCCCTGCGGCCGTGATGGCCCTGGTGACAGCAAGAGCCACTCCTGCAGGGTCGGCCACTCTGCCCCCAGACGTTGCTGTGGGGGGAGGGTGCGCCAGCCTCTCCCAGCCCCTCGGTGGCCCCTGCCCCACTGCCCCTCTTCTGGAGCTGGGACATTCCAGTCCCATTCCTCTGGGGCAGCTGCAGACACGCCCCTCCGCAGAGCTGATCCCCAGCAGGTGGCGGGACCCTCCCCGAGGGCCAGGCCAAGGCTGCTACCCGAGTGGGGGCTGGAGTGCCCCACCCCAGAGGAGATGCCACGTGGAGTCTTGGGGGGACTTCTAAACCTGGAGAGCCTGTGTGCTTCCCCCCACGCAGCTGAACATGACCTTCGGCACATTGTTTCACCTCCTGGGCCTCAGTTTCCTTTTCTGAAGTAAGAGGTGACAAAACTCACCACCCGTGCGTGTCGTGAGGATGGCACACCAACAGGCACCGCGACGCCCTCTGTGCGTGCTCTTTCTTTGCTGCGTGGCGAGGGCAGCCTGTTCTCACAGCTGCACGCCAGGGTCGTGCAAGAGCTGCGCCTCCCGTGCTTTCAGGCTGCTGCTAGTCTCGGGCTGGGGGCTGGGGAGAGCAGGAGTGAGGGGACCCTTTGGGGGCCAGCTGGGACCTGTGAAGAATGTGGCAGGAGAGGCCCAGCCCAAACCTAGCCTGCTGGGTGGGGGTTTCAGCTCAGGCCCCTGGGGGAAGCCTCAGCTTTCTGCTCTGACCACCAGTGAGGCTGCGAGGCACTGGCTGTCCTCCCTCCCCCCCCAGTCCTCTCCAGCCCCGCCTGCACAGCTGCCCTGGCCTGGTGGGGCAGTCCCTGGGCGTCCAAGCAACAGGAAGGAAGGAATGTGTGTGTTGGGAGGAGCGGTGGAGGTGGGATGGACCCCTTTACAAAAAGGGACTGTCCCCAGACTGATCTGGGCAGCAAGGAGCCTCCTGAAAGCTGGGGGCCCCTGGCACTGCTGGGCCAGTGACAATATAGCCAAAGTTACTGGGAGGGGCAGAGGGGGCGCGGTGGGGGCTTCAGGAAAGAAAGGGAAGGGGCTGACTGTCCCCCCTTTGTCAAGCTCCCTAGCTGTTTGTGGTAGCCCGGGCCCCACGGCCCCACACGGATGCATGCACAGGCCTGTACCCAGGGGAACCTCTGGGTCTTCATGCTGGGGTGCTCCTGTGTCATGTCTGTGTCCTGGAAGGTGCTCAGTGCTGCGTGGGTGACCTAGTGCGTGACCGTGTGTGCCACTGGACATGACCGGCTGCCGTGTCTCTGTGCTGCCGGGTGGGCCTGGCAGGTAACACGCTGTGTCGCGCGTGGTGGCGTGCACTGCTGGCGTCTATAGTCCCACCTCTAGTTCAGGGACTCTCCCCCCAGGTCTGAGACGCTTCGTGGGGAAGATGGGGTGTTGGTTATGTCTCCCTGAGACAGGAGCTGAGCCTGTGCCCAGGGGAAGCCGAGGCGGTGTTTGGCACTGCCGCTGACGTCCCCACCCCCGTGGCCACAGGGAGCTTGCTGGAGGCTCACAAGCCCTTTCGCCTGCTTTGTCTGCAATGGTCTCGCTAATCCGATGGGGAAGGCAGGGCAGGCAGAGCCTCTCCCATCTCAGAGGTGTCTCCGCTGTCCCCTCCCCAGAAGCAGACGAGGGCTCCGTGTGCTCCCGGACAGAGCAGCCTGTCGTGGGCTGTGCTCGCCGTGGTGACGAGGTGTCAGGTGGAGAGGCGGCATGATTCAATCCCAGTTCTTTTGGCTGTGGGAGGTGGGATCCCAGACACCCTTGCCCTGACCAGCTCTGCGACCTTACCTTTAAAAAAGGGACAATAAGGATGACACAGGACTCTGAGACTGCTGCGCAGGGCTGCACGGCCACTGTGATTCCGTACCTGGATGGGTCCCCCGAGCCCGGGTGGCCCGTGACGCCTGCTCCCACGGGGCTGGGGGAGCGGGCTGTCCAAACTCAGACCGGCCCCCTTCTCAGGGCTGGGAGGGGAGGCTGGAAAGGTTAGTGTTGGCCAGCTTGAGGGGAAGGGCCATGGGGGTGAGGGCAAGGCCTGCCCCCTCCCCACCCCTCCTGGAGAGCTTTGTCTTCCACGAACACAAAACCTGGAAGTGGTGGAGGAAGACGGAGCCTCCCGCCGACCATTGTTCGGGTGGGAGTGGGTGTCCCGGAAGCACGTTGGGCGGGCGGTAGGGACCCCGGCTGCAGCCCGCCTGCTGGGCTGTTCCAGAATGCCGGCAGCTGCTCGGGGTGGGAGGCAGAGGACGGGGCGTTCCTTCCCTTGGCAGCACCTTCCTGAGCGCCTACTACGCGCTGGGCCCCGGGCTGTGCACAGGGTCTGTGGGGGCTGGGTGCCAGCCGCTCCTCCGGAGTGGGGGCCCAGTGCGGGTGGGGGCTGGCCCGCCAGCCTGGCCGCTCGGTGGAGCTCGTGTGTCTGACTGGGCTTGGCTGCAGCCAGCTGTGCTGGCCCTGGCGGCGGGCGGCCCGGACCGGGCGCTTTGTCACATTATCTCATCCGTCCTCCCAGCATCCCAGAGTGCTAAGTGCTGTCACCACCACTGCACATGCGAGGAAGCCCGAGCTCGCTGAGGTCAGTGGCTTGGCCGAGGTCACTCACACACCGACTGGCTCTGCCAGGGTCAGGATTTGGGACCCCCTTGCCCGGTGGTGGGCTTTGGAGAAACAGCGAGTGTGTGGGCTGGCGGGGGTCCACCCACCCCCTCCCTGTGTCCCACGCCACCTCCCAGACAGGACACCTGTTCCGGAAACTGTGGCCATTGTTCATGCCATCCTTCCTCCCCTTGGCCCTTCCTGTTTGTGTCCCTGCCCCTGTCGCCCCCACCTCTCCCGTGCCAGATGTTTCCCTCAGAGAGCTCTGTCCCTGAGCAGGAGGAAGGGCTGAGTGGGTCTTCCCCACCCCACAAACGAGGGGCACCAGCGGGAAAGTAGGCAAGGTCAGGGTTGCAGAGCCCGGTTCCGGCCTCCCTGGCCCTTTGCTGCTGCGTCCTGGCAGGAGGGCCCTTGTCCTGTAGCTGCGGTGACGCGCCCATGCCCCCGAATCACACGCAGCCCCCGGCTAGAGAACCGCTGCTTTTCCTTAGACTTAGTCCAACGGGGTGATAGAGGGCAGGTGGCTTTGGAGCCTGCACCCCCTTCTCCTGGCCATCTAGGAGTCCTGTCCTGGGATTCTTTCCAGGCTCACATCTGCCACTCCTGGGCCAGGTGCGGGGCGACGGAGAGCAGGCACCTGGCTGTTGGGTATCAGGGGAGGCGGGTGGCGAGTGCCCACCTGCCCCTCATGGAGCCTCCCAATTCCCAGGAGCAGCTGCCCGTGCCCTGCTGAAACTTCATGGCCACAGCCCCAGTGCCTGCTGACATTGCCATGGGCAGCGTGGGCAGCCTGTTGGAACGGCAGGACTTTTCCTCTGAAGAGCTGCGGGCGGCACTGGCTGGGTCCCGGGGCTCCCGCCAGCCGGACGGGCTCCTCCGGAAGGGCTTGGGCCAGCGTGAGCTCTTCAGCTACCTACACCTCCCCAAGAAGGATGGCAAGACCGCCAAGCGGGCCCCTCGGAACGAGCCTGCTGACTATGCCACCTACTACAGGGAACATCCTTGGGCTGGTGACTTCAGCAAGACTTCTCTGCCCGAGCGGGGTCGCTTTGACAAGGTGCGCCTTGTCTGCCTACACCCTTCCGTGGCATGGGGAGGGCGGGGCTCCCTGGGGACCCCGATGTGGAGGTGGGGTGGGGACGGGGTGGGCTGAGATGTGACAGTCCTGCCAAGGGCTGCTTCCTAGTGGCCTGTGCCCACGTCCTCAGAGAGGATCCCCCGGGGCCTCACACCTCCCCTCTCTTCCCCGCAGTGCCGCATTCGCCCGTCCGTGTTCAAGCCTGCAGCGGGCAACGGGAAAGGCGTCCTGTCCATGCAGGGCCTGGCGGCCCATAAGGGCCAGAAGCTGTGGCGCAGCAATGGCAGCCTGCACACGCTGGCCTGCCACCCGCCCCTCAGCCCGGGGCCCCGGGCCAGCCAGGCCCGCGCGCAGCTGCTCCACGCCCTCAGCCTGGACGAGGGCGGCCCCGAGCCCGAGCCCAGCCTGTCTGACTCCTCCAGTGGGGGTAGCTTTGGCCGCAGCCCCGGCACCGGCCCCAGCCCCTTCAGCTCCTCCCTGGGCCACCTTAACCATCTCGGCGGCTCCCTGGACCGGGCCTCCAGAAGCCCCAAGGAGGCCGGGCCGCTGGCTGTGCTGAGCTGCCTGCCCGAGCCACCGCCACCCTATGAGTTCTCCTGCCCTACCACCGAGGAGGTGGTGGCCGGGCTGCCCGAGACCTGCGGGGAGCTGAAGAGGGGCCTTGGTGTTGAGGATGGCCCTAGTGCCTTCACGCAGGTGAGCAAGGCCCCGCCCTGTAGTCTTGTTGGTTTTTTTGAGACAGAGTCTCACTCTGTTGCCCAGGCTAGAGTGAGTGCCGTGGCGTCAGCCTCGCTCACAGCAACCTCAATCTCCTGGGCTCAAGCAATCCTCCTGCCTCAGCCTCCCGAGTAGCTGGGACGACAGGCATGCGCCACCATGCCCGGCTAATTTTTTCTATATATATTAGTTGGCCAATTAATTTCTTTCTATTTATAGTAGAGACGGGGTCTCGCTCTTGCTCAGGCTGGTTTCGAACTCCTGACCTCGAGCGATCCGCCCGCCTCGGCCTCCCAGAGAGCTAGGATTACAGGCGTGAGCCACCACGCCCGGCCGTGCAGTCTTGTTCTGTGCCTTGGCATCGGGGTACAGGCCAGACAGGGGCCCCCGCTAGCTCACCCGCACGGCTCTGGACACGAGAGAGTGAGAAAGCGGGCGATGTCTCTGTTTCTGCCCCCCATCCCACGTGGAGAGGACTCATGTCCCTGCTGGTCCTTGCCTGGGAGTTGTGTGGGAAGGAGGGAGAGAGGCCCTTCTGGAGGGCCATGTGCTGGGGACCCTTCACCTCCTAGGGCATCTGGGTGAGGGTGTCCGGCTGGGTGCTGGGCCTACCTGTGGGAGAGGGCTGGGCCCCCTGTGCACACCGGCGGCTGCTCTGGCCCCACTGGGCGCCTCTCCCCTCGGCAGGTGCTCGAGGAGCGCCAGCGGCTGTGGCTGTCTGAGCTGAAGCGCCTGTACGTGGAGCGGCTGCACGAGGTGGCCCAGAAGGCTGAGCGCAGCGAGCGCAGCCTGCAGCTGCAGCTGTTCATGGCCCAGCAGGAGCAGCGGCGCCTGCACAAGGAGCTGCGGGCTCAGCAGGGCCTGGGCCCCGAGCCTCGGCCCCCCGGCACCTTCCCCGAGGCCGACCCCAGCACACGACCGGAGGAGGAAGCCCGGTGGGAGGTGAGAGACGACCGGGGGCTCGGAAGCCCTCCCGTCCCCGTTGCGTGGCCCCTGCCCCGTGACCAGCTCCCCTCACCCGGGTTTGCTGGTGTCCCCGCTCTAGGTGTGCCAGAAGACGGCGGAGATCAGCCTCCTGAAGCAGCAGCTGCGGGAAGCCCAGGCGGAACTGGCCCAGAAGCTGGCCGAGATCTTCAGTCTGAAGACGCAACTTCGGGGCAGCCGGGCCCAGGCCCAGGCCCAGGACACGGAGCTGGCCCGGCTGCGGGAGGCCGTGCGCAGCCTGCAGGAGCAGGCCCCTCGGGAGGAGGCGCCGGGCAGCTGCGAGACCGATGACTGCAAGAGCAGGGGGCTGCTGGGGGAGGCAGGGGGCAGCGAGGCCAGGGACGGCGCGGAGCAGCTGCGGGCCGAGCTGCTGCAGGAGCGGCTCCGGGGCCAGGAGCAGGCGCTGCGCTTCGAGCAGGAGCGGCGGACGTGGCAGGAGGAGAAGGAACGTGTGCTGCGCTACCAGCGGGAGATCCAGGGGGGCTACATGGACATGTACCGCCGCAACCAGGCACTGGAGCAGGAGCTGCGGGCACTGAGGGAGCCCCCCACGCCCTGGAGTCCTCGGCTCGAGTCCTCCAAGATCTGAGGCCAGCGGAGCGAGCTGGCAGCAGAAACACTGTCAGAAGGCGCCCCAGCCCTCCCTTACACTGGTCTAGGGCGGCATCCGCAGGGGCCAGCCCCGGGCAGGGGAGCTGCAGAGAGGAGAGATCCAGTGGGGCCGTGGGCTGGGCAGGTTGCCTGCAGCGGGAGCCAGGGCAAGGCCCTCCTGGTAGAAGAGCACCCAGGCAGGGGGCCCAGCCCTGCTCCCTAGAGTGGGTGTGGCCCAGGGCAGGAGGCTGGGGAGCCTGGAGCCCGGAGATGCAGGAGGGCAGGCACGAGGGACGGAGGCTGCAGCCCTGGGCCGAGGCCATCTCCACAGAAGGAGGCTGGGCTGGGAACATCAACCTCCCTTGGAATGAAACCATGTTTTTCACGAGGAGTCCCCAGGGCATGCGTGGAGCCTGTCCCTGGCCTGAGTCTAGAGCACTGTGGATGGGGCCGGGCACCGACCAAGGCCGCAGCTCATCCCATGGCTCCCCCACCTGTCTGGCGTCTGCCGGGCCTATGTGTGTGTGTCGGAGGGGTCCACGCTCCTTGCCCGACCCCCCCAGCCCCAGCAGCACATAGTCCTCAGCTGCTGTGTGGGCCGAGAGTCTTTTCTTCAGCACCAGTGCATTTTTCAGCAAGAACAATAAATACCAGGGAGCTCCAGAAAAATAAAAGGGCAAGTCAACCGAGCCACTTGGAGAACGTGAGCTGTTCTCTTGGTGGGAAGTCTGGGCCCCAGGTGCCTTGGCCCCTGCTGTGTTGGGGCCAGCCTGAGACAGCCTTGGCTGGAGCATCCAAAGGCCCCGGCCCTCCCCTCCCAGAACCCACCTCCGTCTTTCTGTCCGGCTGTGGGCCCTCTCTCCAGAGGGGTGGGGGGCCCTGGGAGGTGCAGGGAAGAGGTAGGGGGAGGCAGCGGGCACTTGGTAGAGGGCCTTTAGCACAGCGAGGGACGGGACCGTGTCCCCACAGGCAGTGGGACTGCGGGGTGTTTGTTAAGCAGAGATAAAACATGAGCGATTTGTGTTGTGGGAAGTTCTCTCCCAGAAGGAAGCACCTGCCTCCTGTCCTATAACAGGCTCCAGGACTGTCAGTCCTTTCTATCTCTGCTCTCAGCGAAGGCTCCTCCCAGCTTCTCTAAAAACCACACCCACCCAGGCCTCTCAGGGGTCCAGCTTCCCCTCCAGGCCTTTGCTCCCCTCCTGGGTTGGTGGCCTGGAGCACAGGCCAGCGTGGCTGTGCCAGTGGTGTGGCCCCCTCCCCCTGACGGGAAGCTCCTCTTCCTTACGGATGCATCATTGGGCCGCTGCTGAGCATTGAGCACTTACTTACTCTCTACTGGGTGCTGTGCAGGGACCTTGTGGGCCTGGGACACAAGCCGAGTTAGATGTGCTTCGTGTCCCAGGGGAGCTGGCATGCCATGTCTGCCCTCTGTCTAGTCCCTTCCCTAATAGTGCAGCTCAGGGAAACTGAGAAGTTGTCTGCTGAGAACCCCAGGTGGCTCCCCTTGGCTGTGCTCCTGTCCTCCAGGGCCATGCCTGACAGCTTCCCAGGCCGGGCAGGTGTGTCCTGGCCGTGGAGTGGGGTCACTGTGCTGGGATGTGGGGGGGACTCTACCTTCTTAGGGCGGAGAGTAGGGTGTGTGAGCTGCCTGCCGTGGGGCTGGCGTGTTTATGGCTCTGTAAGTGGCAGGTGTGGAGATGAGCCTGCGGATGGGGGTGTGTCCCGGGGGGGTGTGTTTGGAGCACTGGCCTCTGGAAACCAGCTCGTGGCCCCGCCCTCTGCCCCATTCCTTCCTGCCAGCCCTAGTCCCTCTTAGCCCTGGCCAGGCTGGGTGGAGCCTATGACCCAGACAGACCCCTGGGCGTGGCTGACAGCCATCACAGCCACACCTGAGGAGGGAGAGGGGAGCACCCAGGTTAGGCAGGTCAGTCCCCCACAGACCTTGGTACCCATTCCCATTTCACAGGCTCCTCTAAACCCAGGTCTCTGGGCCAGTGGCTCCTCCAGAGGGCGCCCCCCCAGAGCTGGGTGCTGGCCTGAAGCCTGGATCAGAACCCCCTGTAGCCAGGGGCAGGTCAGGCTGTGCGCCCACGTGCCCCCGGGTGGCCGGGGTCCACCTCGGTACAGCAGCTTTGCAGAACAATTCCCCACCCAGCAATTAGGGAGCTGTGCCGGCCAGTGCAGCCATCAGGGAGTGGGTGGGTGGCACCAAAACTTGGCAGCTGTGCCAGAAACCAAGGCCTGGCCCAGACGCGGGGGGAGGGCGAGAGAGAGCCAAACCTGGGGGACCGGATCCCTGTTAGCTCATCCGTGCTGGGCAAACCAGTTCTCGGGTCCCCAAGCCGGCTGGGTGGCTCTGGGGCCAGCTGATCACAGGTGTCACTGTAGGGGCTACTGCTTCAGGGCGGCCCCTCCCTCCTGCCCTCCTGCCCTCAGGCTCAGCAGACTAGGCAGCCGAGTTCTGTCCAGAAATGGGGCCACCTCCCCGCACGGGGCACCCTGCCTTGGTGCCTCCTATTCTCTGCTGAGATAGTGTCTTACCTTCCAGCAGCTCTCTGGACTCCTTTGCCTGTCACTTGAGGCTTCTGATGGTGGCCTCCAGGGTCACTGATAGTTGTGCCCCTTCTGTCCTCAGCAGCCCCTCCTAGCCCTCTGGACTTTTGTCCTCTGGGCAGAGTCCTCAGGGTGCTCAGGTCTTGCTTCCTCTGGGAAGCCCTCCACGAAGTCACCCCTATCTACCCTGTGCCCAGAGCTTCCTCTGCATGCTGCTGTAAGGTCGGTTTGCATCCATCCCCTTTGGGCGGCGGGCATTGCCGGGACATGGCAGTGTCTTCTGTTTTCACCCCCAAGCCTGCTCCCGGCTGCAGCCCCAGAGGGCACTGTGGGGATGCAGAGTCAAAGTGACCAGACCCCTCTGCCCTGACCGGAATGGGTTTGAGCAGGACTGGGGTGGGAGGCTCCACCTCTGAACGCTCGTTCCCCGTTGCTGGGCGCCTGGTCCATGCCAGGTCTGTGCCAAGCCCAGGGCTCCAGAGCCAGTTGCCATCCATTCCACAGTGATGTGCAGAGGGGCTTCCTCAGGGCTAGGTGTGGTTCTCTCGGGTGAGAAAGTCAGGGTGGCCAAGGCGCTTGGGCCCCTGCCCTGGTAGGGCTTGCCTGTCCAAATAGTGACCAGGGCCAGGCAGGAGATGCGAGGAGCAGAGGACAACCTGGAGAGCTCAGACACACAGAGCCCTGGATTACACAGGGGCCTCTGTGGTGATGAGCACATCAGCAGAGGGAAGGCAGAAGGGCCCATCTGAGAGCAAATTTCTCTGAGATTAGCGGGCCTTTCTCCAAAGAGAGTGTAGACCCCATAGATACCCCACCACCCTGATGAGTGGGGGCTTAGGCCTCCCTGTTGGATTCAGAAAAGAAAAATAATGTGATGTTTCTTGCAATAAAACCAAAAGTAGGCCGGGCGCGGTGGCTCACGCCTGTAATCCTAGCACTCTGGGAGGCCGAGGCGGGCGGATTGCTCGAGGTCTGGAGTTCGAAACCAGCCTGAGCAAGAGCGAGACCCCCGTCTCTACTATAAATAGAAAGAAATTAATTGGCCAATTAAAAATATATATAGGGCCTGGCGCAGTGGCTCACGCCTGTAATCCTAGCACTCTGGGAGGCCGAGGCGGGCGGATTGCTCAAGGTCAGGAGTTCAAAACCAGCCTGAGCGAGACCCCGTCTCTACCATAAAAATAGAAAGAAATTAATTGGCCAACTAATATATATAATATAAAAATCAGCCGGGCATGGTGGCTCGTGCCTGTAGTCCCAGCTACTCAGGAGGCTGAGGCAGGAGGATCGCTTGAGCCCAGGAGTTTGAGGTTGCTGTGAGCTAGGCTGACGCTACGGCACTCACTCTAGCCTGGGCAACAAAGCGAGACTCTGTCTCAAAAAAAAACAAACCCAAAAGTGATGTGTGTCATGAGAGGTGAGGTTGAGGGCCACAGGAGAGCTGGCTCACTTGCTCCAAGTGGTGGGGTGGGGGAGGGGAAGGCCAGGATGGCTTTCACAAAGATTGGAGGGATTTCCCCTGCAGCAGCATGGGATGAGGACATCCCGAGATAGGCCTGGACACAGGAAGTATCCTGCAGGTCCCAGGGTGGGGTCTTGCCTGGAAGAGGGTGAGAGAGGCTGTGTGTGTGACCTGCGCCATCACCCAGGGCCCTAAGCTTGGTGTGATGCTCTGCTATCCCCATCTTGAACTGCTCTGAGACTGTTTAAACACAGGGCCTCACATGTGCATTTTGCTCTGGGCACTGCTAATTATGTAGGCCATTCAGGCCTGAACCAAAGACTTCTAAGGAAGGAGAGAACAAGGAGAGGAGGCAGGGGACTTTCAGAGGCACCTGGAAGGTGGAAGGAGGATACCAGGGTCTGAGCATGTCCTGGGCCTGGCCAGGGAGGACAGCTGTGCCTCTCCTGAGCTGAGTCCTGGTGCTCCCAGGTTCTGGGGAGGAAGGCAGGCCATGGCTGCATTACCTACCGCTGCCACTAGCCCCAGCAGCTTGCAGAGATGGTCTGTCTTCTAGCTCAGCCTTCCAAGACTGGCTTTGGGAGGCAGAGAAGCTTGGATTTTCAGGGGACTGCTTGACCCTGAAGGGTTTTTCTTCTCTGCAAGAACTGTTATTTTTACTTTGGGGGTTTTGTTTGTTTTAACGATTAACATAGTGTGCTATGTGTATCTGTTCTTGCCCCATTTTTAAGGTATAATTTACGTACAGGAAAATTCACCCATTTTAGGGTAGTTTTTAGAATTTTCACAAATGCAGAGTTGTGTAAACCTACAATCAAAATAGAGAATAGCCCAAGCCCCCTCTCCCCCCCCACAGTGAATGCTTCTTCCCCAGCCCCTGGCAACCACTGATCGTTCTCAATAACCTTGTGATGTTTTTTCTTTTTTTTTGCAAGTGGTGTTTAATCCCTCTGCGCTAATATGTAATATTGGAACGTATTACAAAGTAGCAAGAAAAACAATTGACAATGGAGTAAAAATAAATTACACTTCCATGGAAAGAATGAAGAACTAGAAATAGATTCTATTCTGTGGAAGATCTTATACAGTAAGGGGTCTCAAGACAAGAGAGTAAGGAAGGATTATTTAACAAGAACTGCTGGGATAACTGGACAAAAAATTTGGGGAAAAATAGGTCATACTTTGCACCACCCGTCAAAATAAAATAGATATTTACTGAGTTACAGTTTTAAAATAAAATCCTAGGAAATCAGTGTTGGGGCTCAGAAAATGATGCGCTACAGTGTGGCACTTTGGCATGCTGAGTGTTTTGAAGGAGAATCAAGGTCTCTGATCATCTTTGACCCCTCAGCCATCCTGAAGGACAGACAGGAGCTTTCTCTGCATTTCCTTTATCTAAGGGAGGTTCCTGCAGAAGGAATGCAGCTGCTGTCTCCAGCCCTCCCTAAGATCTCAAACGGGGAAGATTAACTGGGGGGGTGGGGGAGAGACTAAAGGAGATACCATCAACTCCAGCCGGCTGCTCTCTGAGACTTTATCTGCATAAAACAGCCTTTGTTCACAATGTATTTCCTCACCTCGACCTCCCAGAACCTGTTTCCACCTCCCCCAGAAGCCTCAGCCCTTAATTCTTTCCGCAGCTTAAACGCTTTTTAAACTGCAGTCATCTGGCCTTTATTTGAGTCTCATCCTGTGGGGAGCCAAGCACATGCCTGGTGATGAATTTATAAATCTTTTCTCCTTTTAATCTGTCTACTGTCACGTTTATTCCAGAGACACAAATTATTGAACCTTCAGAGAATAGAAGGAACGTTTAGAACTCCCCTATACTGGCAGAAAGTTAAATAGATGACCACTGAACTAATATGGAGACCAGCTAAACCTCTCTGCTTTGAAGCAATTCTCCCCGCCCCAGCGGAAAACAATCCCAAATGAAGAGAGATTGACAACATCGACTATGTAATAAAATGTGGTGCATTTCCGAAAGTAATAATACTGACGTGCAAGATTAGCCACATAGGCGGGAAAACAAGGGCAGACAAGGGTTAAAGGGCTCCTGATGTGTCGGTTCTTCCAGAAGCCCAGCTGCAGGCCCGGGCTCCGGGAGAGGGAGCTGGGAAGCGCGGGCAAAGCCTGTGAGGTCCTGCCGGCCTGGAGAGGGGGCCTGAGCCCCGGCCCCGGGCAAGGTTCCTTCAACTCTCCGCCCCCGCGGCTTCCGCGCCGGGCCTGGGCCACCCACGCTCCGGGTGCCCCGCGGGCTCACCGGCCCACCGAGGACCGCCCTCTCCCCAGCCAGCCCTATTGCGTAAGGTTGCAGAGCCGCGGTTGTCCCGCCCGCAGGTGCGCGATCCCGGCTTCCCTGGAGAACCTGCGAGCACCCGCTGTGTTTCCAAGCACGAGGTGTCGGGGATGCTGCAGTGAGCGTCTGCCCTCAAAGTGGTGTCGGCGGGGCTGGGGCCGGAAGGCAGAGCCCACCAGTAAACACACAAGAGAACTGCAAGCGAAGTGCAATACAAAAAAAAAAAAAAACAAAAGCAAAGCTGGATTGTGCAAGTGCTATAAAGAAAACAACAAAAAAAGATTGTGCAAGGGCGCCGCCGGGGGAGCAGGGGAGGCGTGGAGGGCTCCAGGGTGGCCCTGAGAGAGACCGGCCCGGAAGGGGGCGGGAGAGGGTTGGGCTGTTTCCAGGGCCAGTCTAGGATGGGGGCGCAGGCCAGGCCTGGGTCTGGGGTCGCCGCCGCCTCCCTGCTGTCTGGCCCTCGGCCTTCCTCCCTGGGACAAACGCGCACCCCCTAACCCCACCTCTTGCTCCCCAGGGAGAGGGCGGCGGGCAGGGCTACGTGCTCCCGCCCCCGCCAGCGAGGGGGCTCTCGGGGGACCGCCCGGCGTGCGGGCTGGGCGCGGGGCCCGCCAGGCTGGCCGCCGGGGACTCGAGAGGGCACCGCCAGCCGGGCAGGGGCGCCCGCCAGTCGCCCTCCGCGCGCCGCGCCGGCCGGCCGGGGCCGCAGGGCCGCCCGGCTTCCAGGCTCAAGGCCGGGCGCGCCCGAGGGCGCCCAGGTGGCGGCGCGGCCCCCCGGGGACCGAACGCGGGCGGCCCGCCGCCCCTCGCCGCCGCCCTGCTCCCGACTCTCCTCACGCGGGGAGGAGGAACCCGCGGAAAGCCCAGCGCGAGGCGGCGGCCACCCCTCTCTGCGCAAGCGCGAGTGGGCGTGTCCCGACCCGCCGCGCAACCGCCGCGGCTTCCGGTTCCGAGGGCGCCGACGCCGGAAGTCGGCGCTGGGGCTGCGGGACCGGGTGAGGCGGGCGGCGGGCGGCGGGCTCGGGCTCTTGTCGCCGCAGTCGTCGCCCCGGGCCCGGAGCTGGAGTCCCAGGGGCTCGCGGGACCCGGGCCCGGCCCTCGAAAAGTCGCCTCGGCTGGGGGAACCGCTCGAACTCAGACGCCCTGGCCTAGCGCGCCCCGCCGGGGTCGGAGGTAACCAGCTGCGGGCCGGGGGCCGCGCCGGGCGTTCGAGCAGGGTGTCTAGCGGGACGAGTAGGAGTTTGTAAGTCATTTGCACGTTAATGCACAGCGAAACTCCCCGGAGGGGCTGCTGTCCAGGGACATCGGTGGACTCTTTCCTCCCTCTGGCTTTGGCTCAGGAGAGGAACAAGATTAGCAGCTTCAAAAAGAGGTGGATGATGAAGAAAAGGAACAGGGCAGCATGGCGGGGTAACTGTGTAAGGTGGGGCAGAGGCCTGCAGCAGGTCCTGTGGCATCTCTGAAGAATGACATCTGCATTGAGACCCGAATAAAGGCTCTCGAGTGTTCCAGGCAGAGGGAACAGCCACTGCAAAGGCCCTGAAACAGAAGTAAACCTGATGTAGTCAAGGAACAGAGAAAAGGCTGAGAGTGGCAAGAGATGAGGTTGGAGAGAGAGTTGGGAGCCTGCAGGCCATTGGAGCATGGAGTTTGTTCCAAGTACGATGGAAATCTATTGGTGTTAAGCAGAGGAGTGATGTGTAGGGTGGAGAAGGGACAGAGGTGTGGGCTGCCAAAGTATAAGAATTGGGTCAGTGCAGGCTGTCCAATTCTGTGTCGGGCAAAAGGGAGGTTTCCATGATTTGCACTAACTTCCCTTGTCCCTGCCCAGGGAGCCCTCTTGTTGCAGGATGCTAAGGACTGGGGACAAAATCTCCATGCACGGCTTGGCATATTTCACTCATGGCTCTTTCTTCCCATTGCCAACTCCCCTTCTACCCTCCTTTGAGCTCAAGGCCTCTAGGCCAAAGATCAGGAAATAGATGCTCTGTTTAACCAGCAAATGCATGCTGAGCAAGCACCTTGGACCAGGCCCCGGACTGGGCACTGAGGGGGGAGAGAGGATGATACTAGACTCCAGCCTTGAGCAGCTCACAGACCAGTGGGAGAGACAGTTACTGTGCTGCAGTAGTAGGGACTTGCATGTG